GTCAACTGAGTAAGCGAAAATCTTAAAAACACCTGCTCCTCAGTTTAATCGGTTATTTGAAGTTGACATTTCCAATGACTTCACCGCCCCAAATGATATTTATGCGATCGGATTGGAGGAGATAGTTGATTTGAACGCAACCAACATCGTCAGTGCAAGGTGCGTTTATTTTGTTCGAGCTTCGTCATCATCTTTATCATATACGATAGTTGATTTTCAAGTTCAGCGAATCAGAAGATGTGGATCGATGCGTACAGGAGAATCCTGTGTGAAGGAAAATGCAAGTACATCTTGCTAGAATCGGTTCAGCTGGTCGGTGTATGTCTGTTCGTGTTCATCAGACCGCGTTTGGCGCCATTTGTCAGGTGCTGGCTTTGGATCTGATGTTCAGTGCATTTTTGACTGTAGTTCTTTTTTAGGGATTTGGCCACGGATATGGTCAAAACAGGGTTCGGCGGTGCGGTTGGCAACAAAGGCGGCGTGGCCATTCGTTTTCTGCTGCATTGTACCCCACTATGCTTCGTCTGCTCACATTTCGCCGCCGGCCAAATGCAGGTGCAGGAAAGGAACAGCGATTTCGCCGAAATCTCTCGTAAACTTCAGTTTCCAATGGTATGCAAACTTTTCACTACTTCATTTTCACAATGTTCATTGTTTCATCTTTTTTCTTCATCTTGAGAAGAAAAAGACATGATCATTAGGCAGAGCCAGACCGTATGAATATGGACATCATGCATGAAGACTTGCAATAGCTGGACCATAAGACCAACAAATCTAGGCGATTGTCGTTTTACGTGCCTAAAGGCAGCATTTGCAATGCAGTATCTGTTTCTTTAATGTTCTAAACGAAGTTCTTGCGGATGTCTCTGGTTCCAAAAGAAGTCATTCACGAGTGAATATGTCTTCATCATGAATGCAGCAACTATGAGTTCATTCATCATGACCGACAACCGCATGTTACAGTATAATCGTACAGCGCTCGTGATTAGTTCATATATTTTTTGATCGATTGTGGTTACAGATGGATGCTGAACTCTTAAGGCGAACTGCGGCACTGCATTGTAATCGTCAGACTGGGAAATGAGCACTGTATTGAAAGCGCCCATATTCACATCGTATGAGAGTCATATGCGTTTAATTAACATCTTCTATCGTGCAAAGTCATGAAATTCGTCTCGATGGTTTCTAGCAGTATTGTTTTCAAGTGAAATGATAGAGATATAAACGTATAAAGTATTCGTAACCAGCTGTCTAAGAAGTGTTGCGAAGTCGGCGCTGAGATTACTCCATGGCATACTTTGATTGAATTACCTTAAATGAAACAGAAAACGGAAATTTGCTTCAGATATGTTGTGGATGATGGTTACATGGATGCACTGGTTGACGTATAAAGCGTGAAATCAATTCGAAACGAAGAATGCGATCATTGCCGCAGCCGTTAACAACACAGTTCTGAAGCGCTACCGTAAGGCAGATCGGCCTTCAAACGGAAACCCTGCTGTTTAATGCAGTAATTGCAACCTTAGATTATTGTAACAACCCAAGACCAATGAAGTGGTTGCTATCATCGAAACTTTGTCGAACAGTTTCATGCTATCATCCATTCACACATGCCTGATTCCTTTCATGTTTATATTTGATTGCGCTTTTTCAGCGAAACGTTTGCACTAATTACGATTGTTGAATGCTATTCCTTAGTCAGCCTTGAAGTCATATAGCTTCGTGTTACGTATTAGTTCTTTCTTCAGTGGTATATGCCGGTTTAGATACCGTATTACTGCTCGTTTTTAACCAATTCATATGTCTGTTTTTGCGTCCCCTCTGCACCATCTGGCGAATGTTCTCCAAGATCCTTGAGCTCTTCAATCTCTTTCCGTTGCACTCACTTGGCTTGACTAATTCGAGTGTAGCGTCACTTATAAATTCTGTTCTGAAAACTTCTCCGCCTACTTTCATAATTTTAAATTCATTTCAGTAAATATAATTAGAAAAAGCAACACTGACCCTCTCCATTATACGTGCTCTCTTATTGTGTGACCAGCCGTCTGCATCTGTGCTGGACGGAGGCCTCTCCTTTACATCCGTGTCATAATCTTATGCTTTCTGCATCAGATTTCATCTGATCCAACGATCATAGGTTCTTTCTGCGCGCATCCTGCTCATTGCCACTGTTAACTTCTTTACACATTCCTGACTCCTGTTTGTACTGTTATCCGGCTTTGTCTTCTGTCCTTTTTGTTATTCCCAGTATGTATCTTTCCATGCGTTGTTGGCAGTTCATGAATAGCTTCAAGACTTAGAGTCCTTGTCCGTTCGGTCCCATCGACGGTTGAGCACTGAGAGCTTTCAGCGATGGAAATCTTTCCTTTTTCATTTTCTAACTTCCATTATGCTACCTACTAAAGGATATTTTTTGTTTTAGGGTCGCGGTTTGTTTTCGCACCAGGTAGTTTTTTGGTTAGGCGATTTCAACTATCGAATAGATCTTCCGTGTGAAACAGTGAAGGACGCCGCTAAAGCCGCTAACTGGGAACTGTTGCGTAGTGCTGATCAGCTGAACGTTCAGCGCAGTTCCGGAAACGTACTTT